GTCTAGCAAAAGTGCCCGTGCGTTGCACCGAGAAGCTTACAGATTAGAAAAATATGTAATTAATTAAAATACAAATTTGCTGAAATATTTGATATTTTTAAGTAGGTATGTGTATAATTAAATAAATTTACAAGTAAAGCAAGTGTGACAAATAAAATGACATGGTTAAATTTAATTTTATTAAATTCTCCATGATTAGTTACGCTCTTTGGAATTTTATTGGAATTTTCAGAGCTTAATTGCTAATTTTATTAATACGAACATCATTTAACAATTATTTAATTGGAAAAAGAAATACTTCCTTTTAGGTTTGCTTCCCTCAGGCCGATTTCGGCCCGGACGACACCGGCCGTCCGATCTCTAGGGTTTTGATCGGACGGCCGAGCGTCGATATCGGGGAAACAAAACCCCCTCCCTCTCAGCCGCCGTAACCCTAGCCCATTTCCCTCCCTCCCATCTCACTTCGCCGCCCTCCCCTCCGCGCCCCCGAGCGGCGGCGGCGACGACGGCGCCCCTCCCCCACCAACCGACGGCGGCGGCGGCACTCTCCCCCACCACTGGAGAGCGCCCTCCGCCGCCGCTGCCGGCGGATCTAGCGGGAGGGGAGGCGGCGGCAACGCTCTCCCCTCCACCGGATCCAGAAGGAGGGGAGCCGCCGACGGCTAGCCGTCCCTGCGACGGCGACGGCGACGGCGGTGGTTCGACAACGACGGCGGCGGTGGCGACCCCCTTCGATGTAATTTTTTGTTTTTATTTGGATATATATGTGTACATGCATCATGATTTATGTGATTGAACTCCGATTGTGATTGTGATTTTTTTCCCAAGGTTTGATTGGATTTGGATTGGGATTTTGGGGAGGGGGCGACGAAGCGGGACGAAAAACCGGTGTGACGACCGGAAAAATACGAATATTTATATTAGTTATAGATATACGGACGACGGAAACTTTTTTAACTTTTTAAGTAGTTAGAGATAGAGATAGAGATAGAGATTAGAGATTAGATCTTTTTATTTTGTGATTAGGAATTTAGATTGTTTCTTTATTTTTTAGAAATCTCTTCTCTACTATTATAAAAATTAAAGATGATTTTCTGGTACTTAAGTACGTCATCCGTGTATGAATCGGTTTTAAGTTCGTTTGCTTTTGGAAATATAGATTCATATTTGAGTCGAGTTTTAACTTCGTTCGTTTTTTGAAATACAAGAGTTGTATAAGAAATCTTTTTTAAAAAACTTACATGTTAACATGAGATGATCGGACTCTTATTTGCAACTTATAATTTTGTAAAAAAATAAATACATCTAATCGAATTCCCATAATAAATTTCACCTTAACTAAACTGTATGAAAACAATAAGATTAAAATAACTTTCCGCCTCTATTCGCTATTTTCTTTCCGTTGCCGCGTTTTTTTCTCATGATCGCGCGGTGACGCGGCATTGCAGGCACGATGACGTGAGCGACGATTTTTTTGTGATGTGAGCAACAGACGAAACGGTCAAAAAAAATTTACTGCTTGTATTCGATACGTCCTCAAGCCGCCAATCGGAAAAAAAAAACGTACGAAAATTTCAATGCGACGATTGGAAAATTACATATTCTTTTTTTTTCCCGATTTTTCTTTTACCGCGTTGATGAATCGGATTCGTTCCGGTTTTTTTTCACCCGGTTTTTTTGACGGACGATGGAAGCACCTCTTATTTTTTAAGTAGTAGTAGATTTATTTGAATTTTTAATTAGGGTTAATTCTTATTCCATCGTATTTAAATTTAATTGATCCAAATATGGTCACAATAATATTTTATTTATTCCTATCCACACCTAATATTTATTTTAATTTATATTTATTTTACCAATTTGTTTTTTTTACGGTTTATTCCTAATTAACTATTCTTTACTCACGATTAATAAACTTCGAGATCAAATCCAAATAAAATAGGCGAATAAGATCGGCATGATGCAATTAATTTAAAAAGTTTTTGAAAATCCGTATTTTTAGAGCTTAGATTTTTGTCGTCGAATTTTCAGGGTGTTACACAGGGAGCAACGGTGGGGGAGGGGTGGGGCGAGCTTGCAGGCGCTTGTCCAGCAGCAACAAGTTAACAACCAAATTTGGTAACATCAGTGTCAGGAAAGAAGATTGGATCAAAGCGAGGTCGGAAGCGGAGATCGAGTTCGGAAACAGAGCAGGAATCGGCCGGAGTCCAGATCGGCTACGGTTAGGATCGGCTAGGTCTGAGTCAGGCTAAGTAAGCCGATACAGCCGATTCCGACAATATGACTTTTACACGACATCGGGTTCAAGTTAATGTACTTCAAGATGATTGCCACGCACGGATAGAGTCCTGGGAAGGCAATTGTATCTATTAATTAGGATATCTTATGTAAATTCCTAATAGATAAATATGGGCAAAAGTCTGCCGCAAAGACTTATGGTATCTTAGAGTTTGTTAGAGATAATAGTCGTGTCCGGTATGGGCATATCTTGTAATTCTCGGGTATAAATAGACCCCGAGCCCTATGTAATTTAACAACACACGTTCAATACAATTTCGGCGCATCACCACCCTTTTGCTTTAGTTTTTGTTTCGACGAGTTCTTGCTTTCGGGTTAAGCTGCATTGATTTCGATCTTCAACAAGAGGTAAAATTCGTTATGACGGATTGTGTTCTTAGGATTAGTGCTTCTATATTTATGATACTCTAATCTCATTTATATAATTCGTCGAGTTATCATATATCTTATATAATCTCTAGCAATATCGACACCTAATCTACTATCGGCTAACATCTGTATGCAGAGGGCAGCCGATTAGGTTAGATTTTGATGTTGATTTAGATTATATGAGATATCTACTATTCTATGAAACTTCTAGCGGCTTGATCGTCTAGATATTGTTCTTTTTTTCATACTTAATGCGGCATCAGTTAAGTTTGATCTATTAAGTCGTGCTTAGAATATCAATCTCTAGCCTGCCTTCTAGTTGCTGATTAGAATAGCATCGGAATTTCAGCCGATCGCATCTGATTTAACTTCATTTGTTCTATATGCTCCATTGACATGTTAAATCTGCCCTTTATATTAAGATATTGCTGTATCTAAATATGTTAGGCTTTTGCTCAATATACTATACTTACTTTAATATCTTGATATAGAGTAGTATCGGAGTATTAGCCGATACATACTAGATCTATCTTATCGGCTATATGCTATAAACATATATAGTCTTGTTATTGACATATATTTTGATCTAAGTGATTTATACTGTCTCGGCATGATGACCGATCTATCCCAATCACTTGATTTAAGTATACATCGATATAAGGAGTATATATTGTTAATATCTATAGCCGATCGAGTAGATTTAGTCCTTCTTTACTTATTCATGACTGCCGATCGATGCACAGATAACATCGGCTTAAAGGTAAATGATATGTCATCGGCATCTAGCCGATCGGCTATCATTTATAGACTTAACCATGGTTGCTTTGCTTCTATTTATTGTTGATTACAGGATCAAATCAATTGGCACGCTAACAACATCCGAAGGCGAGCTTTGGACCTGCACTGGAGTTAAGCAGATCTCCCAGGCCACGTGTTTTCTGTCAACACAACAGCAGACGAGGAGGAGGAGAAGGGCCGCCCCTGCATCTCCTCGCGAGATAACCTTCCCCGCCAAGTTGAGCTTGTCATCGACCACCGCCAGGGTGCGCTGCCTCCTCGGCCTCCCCCGGCGTGGGAGGCGAAGGTCGCTCGAGCGCTGGCACGGGAGAGGCGCGAGAGGACCTCCACCACCAGCCGCAGAGAAGAAAGAAGAAAAAGGGTCGCCGAGGGAGCTCGAGACAGCGGCGGGCTCGTCAATTCCTTCCCACGAGCTCCATCTGGCACGGGAGAGGCACGGGAGGACCTCCACCGCCAGCCGCAGAGAAGAAAGAAGAAAAAGGGTCGCCGAGGGAGCTCAAGACAGCGGCGGGCTTGTCAATTCCTTCCCGCGAGCTCCATCGTGGCCACGTCACGCACCCTCACCACCCCGCTGCGCCTACCACTGGCCTCGGGGTCCGCTCTCCAACGGCTCCACACACACACACACACATAGAGTGAGAGAGAAAGAGCAGCTCGTAGTGTGCCCTCGCCGTAGTCACCGTCACGCCCGCCGCCGGCCACTGTCTCGCCGCTCCCAACATTGCCACAAAGAGAGAGGAAGAGGGGAAGAGGAGAAAGAGAGAGATGAGAGAGTGAGAGGCGGATCCCACCCTTTTTTATAAGAAAATGCTGACTGGATTGTCACGCGTACGCTAGGACAAAACCGCTCTAGATTGGGTCGGGGAGGTAATTCGTCTGATATTAAAAGTTTAAGGTGAACAATTTCTAATTTTTGGGTTCGGGGGTAATTTGGTCGACTGCGATAGTTCGGGGGAGGTGTAATTCGCAGTTTTCCTTTTAAAAAAACATATAAAGTGGAATGGAGTTGAGCAGAGTTACTGTCTGAGAAATATGAATTTTTGAAATTTAAATGATTTTTATGGGATAGAAAAATGGTTTACTGAACTTGGTAAAGAAATATTTCCTTCAGGACACTGGCTCATGGGGTCTGCTGTCAGTGAGAGGGGAAGGAGGGATCAGTGATGGGATCACGATAGATTAACTGGCCAACTGTTCCACCTGATCTAAGAGCAAGTCTAACAGTATAGCCAACTACAGGCTCCAATTTATCCATAGCTAATTTAATAGTCAATTTATATAATAGTTGCTTACTATACTATTAATATATGGTCCTATATGTTATATACACAGTGTGTCTTGAAGTTAGTGCTGTAGCTGGCTACAAATCTGTAGACCGTTACTCTTCTCTCTTATCATTTATCTTATTAAAATATTAAAATATGTTTATAGCTGATTATTGTACATGCTCTGAAGTAGTCCTGCCGCGCGTGGATAACTCGGTGACTCGGTGACCTCGCAAAATATTAACAAACAAAAAAAAAATTTCATGGGATGAGATAACAACCTTACCGCATTGTTTTTGGAAGTGTGTGCGCTGCCGATGCGTTGCTTGATTGCTTCATCTTCACGTGATAAAACCGAAAGCGACTTCTCCGAGTCTCGTCAGGTCAGACTCGCAGTCGCAGCAATGGCGGCCGAGGAGATCTTGGAGCTCTCCAATGGCCGCATCACCGCCAAGATCGCCGCCTGGGGCGCCACCATCACCTCCCTCATCGTCCCCGACGCCCACGGTCCCTTCTTAATTCTGTTCCCTCCATCCCCTTCCCTTCTCCCCCTTTCTTCAGATTAATTTTTTCGTTGGGTTTTTGGTTGGTTTGCTTATATCACTCGTTTCTTGCCAAATTTGATGTCAACAGGGAATCTCGCGGATGTGGTTCTTGGATTCGACACTCTGGAGCCTTACATGGTGAGTCAGATCCCTAATCGTTCATTCGCCCCCATAATTCCTTCGATTCAGTCAGTCAAGGTTGATTGTTCTCACCTAGTATGTCACTACTCACTAGTAGGAGTATGTGGGAACTGGGAAGGGTGGTCAGGTTTGATTTTTGCTGGGGAGTTGGGACTGAATTGGGTGCTACATTGCGGCAGTAATGTTGCCCGTGTTTCTTTATTAGATTGGAACAATTTGTATATGCTTATTTAGGAGTGGTGCTTACTAGTAGCTTAATTAGCAGAAATTACTAGTATCATACAGTGGATGTTGACCTTGTCAGGTGCTGCTTCCACAGCCTATATGTAGCAAACATTTTTGGGAAAAGGATTGGTCCCTTTAGGCGATAGGGATGGACGTTCTTGCCTGAATTCATCACATTTGCCCTCATCATGACGGCGAACTAAATTCCTTCCTTGAAATAATATCAAGTCATTTTAGGCCTTTTGTTTGGACAACTTCTTAGGACCAATATCTGAGTCTGTTTCTGCCAATAAACAAGTTGTTGCATCCTATCAATGAACCCTCTGGTTATTTTGCAGCAAATTAGCACTTAATTTTAGATTTCTTTTGACACTCCCAAATAGAGATCCCAACTACTACTGAGGTTAAACAGGTAGCCAGATAATTATATTGTATATATTCTGATCAGATACAGCTATGCAATTTATGGAGGCAGAATTCTAGTGTATCATGCTTTTAAATTCTGACAGATGACATTCAGATATCAACGGGCCAGAGATGTATAATTCGTTTACAAAAATCTGGAGTGCATCTCCAGCTCTATAAATCTGCATGTAGTTTGCTTCAAATTGATTGCCTAAAGTCATCATATTTTCTGTTTGGCAGAAAGGCATATCACCTTATTTTGGATGCATTGTTGGCCGTGTTGCAAATAGGATCAAGGAGGGAAAGTTTACTCTGAATGGAGTTGAGTATTCACTAGCTATCAATAATGGACCCAACAGTCTTCATGGTAAGGTTTCATGAATTTTACATAGATGATTTGGACAGGATATATAGTTGGTTTTGCTAGAGCTCAGACATTAGCCAGTGGTTACTTCATGGCATTATTATTGCCATCTTATTTGACTTACAAAGAATATTATGTTTCTTCAATCGCTCAATTGCAAACTGCAGGTGGGTTGAAGGGGTTTGACAAAGTAGTGTGGGATGTAGTAGAGCGCAAAAGTGAATGCCCATCAATCACCTTCCAATATCACAGCAAGGATGGGGAAGAGGGTACAATCACTAACTAGCATCATCATTGTTTTAATTGAAGAATTCTTATGCTTAAATTATTCAGCCAATTCAATCACTTAACTATTCAATCCTCAGGCTACCCTGGCGATGTGACTGTTCGAGCAACATACTCTCTTCCTGATTCTACCACCTTAAGACTTGACATGGAAGCAGTAGCAGAGAACAAAGCGACGCCCATCAACTTGGCGCAGCACACCTACTGGAACCTGGCAGGGCACAACTCCGGTGACACCTTGGATCATTCAATCCAGATCTGGGGAAAACACATAACTCCAGTTGACGAGAACACGATTCCCACCGGTGAGATAATGCCTGTCAAGGGCACACCTTTCGACTTCACAACAGAGCACAAGATTGGAGCCCGCATCAACGATGTGCCTGGAGGATATGACCATAACTATGTGCTGGACTCTGGCGAAGAGAAGAATGGCCTGAAGCATGCTGCCAAGCTGAAAGATTCATCGAACTCACGGACCCTGGACCTCTGGACTGATGCACCTGGAATGCAGTTCTACACTGCTAACTATGTGGATGGCGTAACTGGCAAAGGTGGTGCCGTTTATGGGAAGCATTCCGGAGTATGCTTGGAAACCCAGGGGTTTCCTAATGCCATCAACCAACCCAATTTCCCCTCCGTGGTGGTGCAGCCTGGTGAGAAGTATAAGCACACTATGCTGTTTGAGTTCTCAGCCTAATTAGTGATGCTGTGAACAGCTCAAATGGCTGCAACTGCAGCTCATTGTAGAATCAAATAAGAGAAAATCTAGCAGAAATCTAAGATGTAGAGCAAAGAATAAATATTAGTTACCAGACCTGGATGGTTGTATCTTGTCTTACAACCAGAATAATATAATACGAATAAATATCAGTTACCAGACCTGGATAGTTGTATCTTGTCTTACAACCAGAATAATATAATACGAATGTTCAGAGGTAGATTTATGAAGTGGTTGCACGTATATTTGAGTAGAATTTGTTCATGTGCTTGTCAAAATATTAGAGTTCCATCTTTTGATGCAATGTCATGTTGGAAGTGATATTCTCTCTTATATCAGAGTAAAAGAAATATTAGAGTGCCAAAATATGTCTTCTGGAATTCTGGACATACAGACATTTTTCAATTCTTTTACTCTCACTATTTGTCTAGAAACAAAATGAAACTGCCTGATTTTCAAATATAAACGACCAGATGGATTTGAAATAATAATAAAGGATCAGATTACTGCATCTCAAATTGTCTGTTTTGGCCTTGGGCGTGTATATATATGTTTTTCAACCATAATTTCTGTTCAAACTTGAAAATGATACACAGCGAGTCAAACAATCAAATTTTTGAAGTTACAATCAAATGATAGAATGCTGCAAAGTTGGAGGTCTCCTCACTTTTGTCGCCTGTTCAAACGAATAGGCTATCTCAATAAGCCTTGGCTCCGATCCTTTCAAACCTCCAAAGCAGATGGCAAAAGGAACACCATTCGATGCATACCCAGCTGGAACTGTGATTGCAGGATAGCCGCCGATTGCAAGCAGGCTATGAGCAGATGCACCTGGTGAAACAATTGCATCCAGTTGATTAACTCGCATTATTTTCTCGAGGCCACTTTCGCAAAGTTCGTTCAGTTTCGCAATGGCCTTCTTCTCAGTTGGACCAGTGCCATCTGTTGCTTCAGATTGCAGAAGGTAACTCTGACCAAATTCAGCCATCCTTTCCTGAATATTGCAACAGATTACCATTCGTGTTTCGACAAAATTAGCAAGCAAATGAGATACGCGTGAATTGATGCGATCTTTACCTCTACCGGATGCTTGTTGTTGAAATCAATTATGTCCGATAATGATCTTACAGGTGAACTGGCCAGTTCAGACAAGTATGAGTTGAGGGACAACTTGAATTCGGCTAGCATAAGAGCACGTTCACCGCTTTGTACTGCATCGTTGATGATGTTCATGTTTGGTATCTCGAGATTGTCCACCAATATGGCACCCATCTTACTTTCAGTTTTATAGCATCCAGGAATCAGGAGAAAGGAAAGAAACTAATATATTCAGGAAAAGAACAACAAAGTCGCAGAGAACAGGACAGATATCTACTATGGTAAATGGTTCGTTCTGTCAATAATACCTTGATCTCATTCATTTTGAGACTAGAATATGCATAAGATTGTACTGTTGACGTTGTCATTGTCATCTAAAAGAAAAAACGCTTTAAGATGGTATTATCAACAGTATATCGAGATCCTGATACATAATTACTGAAAATTAATGTATATGTCCCAGGAAAGGGTAGTATAGAAAGTACAGACATAAATAGTTAAATTTGACTATATGAGGGATGGCTTTTTAGTTAGCCTTTTTGACAATCCTGCCATCTGGAAACCACATGCACTAAGAGTTGGAACGTTATGTGGATTCTGTGCATATGCCTTTTACTTTACCCAAGATCTGATAGTTTATTTAAAAAATATTCACTTCAGTACATAGAAAATACACATTTTCACCTTTTATTAACATTTGTTCAAGATAATGCTAATACCTAGGAGCACAACATATATTCTCAACAAGAAGAGAAGAACACAAATTTCCAACCTAAGGAGGAATCAAACCTACCAGCTAGCTAGAATAAAGGACAGTAGTTCCTGAGGTCGAAAATAACAATGAACACTATGTACTGATAAAGGATACTAATGAAAGATATGTTGGTAAACTACCTTATAGTGTTGAAATGCTCATCGAAGACCTTTTGTTGGACAGAGCCCGAGGGAAACCGAAAGAAATCTTTCCTAAGGATTCCCAACCTCTTGCCTCTTAACCCATCTATATTCAAGAATTGCCTATAACCATCTTCTGGGATATATTGCAACGCCATACGAGTTGCCTCTGCGTCTCGCGGGTCATATCCAACAATTGCTTCCAAAACATGCACAGCATCTGAAACTGTCCTACAAATTGGCCTATATTGACTAGATTACATCAATAAACTGTGCAATATTAAATCCATACGAGTGAAAGGAAGATCATAGAAATGACTAGAGAAAATATAAATGAGGATTAGAATAATGAGCAAGAAGTCATATATTTCTGTGAGTTTGCTCAGTTAAGAAGGTGCCACTGTAATACACTCTATTTAGTTGCATGAAACTTTTCTCTTCCCAAAATCTTCTGAGCTTTATCTTTGCCAGAAAAAAAATACTACTGTGTTTAGTAGCTATCTGAGTATTTAAGCACAAAAGTGTTGTCTATTTAACAAAACAAAGGTCATCTTTTACTTGAACAGTGAGGCGTACCATCTGCAAATTGACACGCCAACATTAATCTGATGGAGAAAAGAAACAAACTAAAATATGAATTCAACAGCTCACTGCAATATGTGACAATATTGGGTTAGATTCAGACAGTAACATCACCCTTTTTTCAGCAATGCTTCAGAAGTTAGAACTGAACAGAACAGAATATTCAGTCAGTATCAACTATCAAGAGCTCACCCAACGGTGTCCATCCTAGGCGAAATGATGATGACGCCGGCGCGGCTGGTTAGCCCCACCGTCGGCTTAATCCCGACGACCGAATTGTAGCTGGACGGGCACATGATTGACCCGTCCGTCTCCGTCCCAATCGTCACCGCCACCATGTTCGCCGCCGCTGCAATCGCCGAGCCACTGCTCGACGCGCACGGCGTCGCCGATGGCACATAGGGATTCTGCAGCAGCAACCCCAATTGCAACACATTGCATTCAGAATTTCAGATTCAGTCAAATTGTTCAGTGTGAGCTCCAATTCGCCATTGCTAATTGCTTGCTGCGGCAAGAAACCATGGGAGGAAGCGACCTTGCCCTGGCCGGCGCGGGGGCTCCAGCCGGCGGGGATGCCGGGGGCGCGGAAGTTGCACCACTCGCTGAGGCTGGCCGTGCCAAGAACCACCGCGCCGGCGCGCCGGAGCCGCTCGACCACCCCGGCGTCGCCCGCGGGGCGCGACCCGACCAGGGCGAGCGAGCCGCACGTCGCGTTCAGCGCGCCGCCGCCGCCGGCCGCGGCGATGTTGTCCTTCACGAGGACGGGGATGCCGTTCAGCAGCGGCGGCGGGAGCGCGCCTCCTCCCGCGGACGCGAAGAGGCGGCGGGCGTCGTCGGCGCGGTCGGCCGCGGCGAGCGCGCCGTCCGGGTCGAGCTCGACGACGGCGTGGAGGGACGGGTCGAGCGCCGCGGCGCGGCTTAGGTAGAGCTCGACGAGGCCGCGCGAGGTGAGCTCCCCGTCGGCGAAGGCGCGGCGGATGGAGTCGACTGTGGCCTCCTCGAGATCGAACGCGGCGCCGGCGACGGCGACGGCGAGGAGGAGGAGGAGGAGGAGGCAGCGCGCGGGCGCGGCGGAGGGCAGCATTGCATCTGAGCTTTGTTGCGTGAGTAAAGGTGGCGTCTTGGCACAACTTAAGTTTTTTTTTCGAAGTGAAGTGGAAGCAGCAGCTTGCCTGCCGTTGACCACTGACATGTGAGCATCGAAATTAAGTCTGATGGAGAAATAGAGTTCCAAATAAATACTGTGGTAACATTCGAAGTGACGTTTTTCCTAAAAAAAAAATTTAAATAGTGCCGTAGTAAATAATTTTTGATGGATCCCAGGTTCCCTCAGCCAATTTTTTAAAAAGATGATCTAAATCGTGTCAACAACACAACACGCGACAGCAAGTAAAATATGGCTGGCTCAGCTTGCGGGTTGCGACACATGAAACCTAGGTGGAGAAGGTAGCTCAGCAGGGTAACATGCAAGCTTTCATGTTAAGTCTTTAATTAATATACTCTTACATCATCTTAATTAAAATACTCGATTCTTTAATAAATCATATAATTATATATTTTTTTAAGAGCAGCTACACTAGCATACTGTAATCCAACTATAAACACACATCGAAAAGATAAAAGAAGAGCTATAACACACGTCAAGGAAATAAAAGAAGAGAAAAGAATAGCGAGCTACAGATTTGTAACCAGCCGTAGCACGAACTCTAAGACACAATATGTGTATGATTTGTGGAACCATATATTAATAGTGTAGTATGAATTGACTATTAAATTGACTATCGATGATTTGAAACTAGTAGTTAGCTATACTACTAAACTTGCTCTAAGTTTATAATAATTAGTAGTCCATTAACCATACCTTAATCCATCCTCTCATTTTGTATGCCAAAAAAAAACTAAGAGCACCTTTGAATAGTACGAATAGAAAAAAATAGGATTCTAATAAAAAAGAACTACACAACAGAGGATTGCAAAACGTAAAAATAACCATTTGATCAGTCCGTACAAATTGGATGAAAGAGATAAGACTGAAGAAAAATTTTCAAGAGGTTAAAACTCTTGCTAAGTTAAACAAGGGTTTATTTACTATAACCGTTGCAATTTTCACTTACTAACCCACTTATCCACATGTCGTATGCTCGATTTTGATCCAAACTTCGCCACATTTTATAGCGAACTATTTCATACACCATACTTTATTGGCTTACCGCACTTTGACAGATTTAGTTGTGACAAAGTTAGTAACCAACTAAAAAAGGCCCTAAACATCAGAACTCACAACAGCTATCAGGTAATATTCCTGTCAAGATCCTTGGCGAAAGAGTAGATAATAATTCATCAGAGGTTTAATCATCTAATATATTGAGCAGGACTAAAGATCTGCCATATCCACAAATGAGCTACCATCTGTGAGTGAAAAAGATAACAAAACAATCGGTCAGTTAAATATACCCAAAAGTTCAAAACTACAATACACTCCTTCAATATCATGAACTGAAACAAAGTCATCTGCTAAACCAACGTCAGGCCAAATCCCTCAGAACAACATAAATCATTTAAATAAGTTGCAACGAAGACCATTCATGCTTCGACTAAATTGCTTGCCATTCTATAACAAGAAAATAAAAAAGACTAAATAAAATTGTACTAGTGATTAAATGTGCACATAAACACTCTTAGCAACAAAAGGATGTTGCTATAAAACTAGCGTTCCTATTCCACTACAAGGTAATGAAGAATCAAGCAAATACACAGCATAGATTTACCACCCAACACCATTTTGAAAACTAGGAATATTATTCAAGGTATCTAGGAAACTCCTTAAGTGAAATTTAGGATAAATTGCGATTTAGAACTGCCAGATATATAAATTTCATACGATTTCCTAGTTCTCAGTTATAGATTATCATTAATGACATGATAAACAAGAAGGAAAGAACTCCATGCTCTTATCTGTTTCTATTTCCTCTTTATCATTAAAATGATCAGTACACAACATAGGCATAATTGCTTTCAAGATAATAAAACATTGGAGTTACTAAGTTTAAAACAAGGAAGGTCTCAACTCTTCTGTAAAGCACCAACCAAATAAAGCGCAAAATTAAACAATACTACGGAAGCAGGGGATCTTTTGCACAAATTCTGTCAATACTTCATAAATGGAGTTTGCTCGGAAACATAAGCTGATTATCTGTGCTGATTAATGATACCTAGAAAAGGTTACTAATGGATGGTCTTTGACTGAAAAAATAGAAATATATTCACATTATGTCAAAACTAAAAGGATGATAACAAAAAAGACCTAAGGTTTTCTCAGAAACTGCCAATTCTTACATGAACATGAATATGTTTCTTTGATATTAGTCACTAGATTGTTCCTTATCTGGTCTAAAAGAAAGAAATAGCTACTTATTTCCAATCGGTCTCCAATGAAAAGTAGTTAGGTAGCATGTATTTCATCCAAGTAAGATAGATATCGTATATTGTTATGCCCATATGAAGTGTTCATTTTTTTTTTGAAACAGAATGTTCATATGAAGTCAATGGAGAGCTAATACCAAAGGTATTTAAGCATGGAAAAGTTAATTGTAAGCCTTCAAATGTTCTGAATTAAGGCAATTAGCAGTTGTCACTTGCATTCATCATGAATTATGCAATTCAATGTGCTTTCGCTCATGTTTGAATGTTACAGGAGTACAGGACAGTGCCACAGTTAAAACAAAACACTTGTTCGTAAGTAATTGTAGGAGTGTACGATATTCTTGTAAAAACAAATATGCCAACATTTCTTTTCATTACTATGTGAATTAGTATTCATTGAATGGATAAACTAAATATTTCACCAGAGCAAGATAGAGAACCACACAATGTCCAATTATCATGGCAAAGTTTCATTGGTGAATATATAACATTGAAAGCTGTTTTGCAAACTGAATATATTGGCGCCTCAGCCCTCAAGGATGAATCATATGTAAAAATAAAAACAATAGACCCTAGTACCAAAAATAACATGGTAACTCGAAAGACAATATAAGACCTGCAGTTCAGAAGCTTGAGTAGGGGTAGTAGTTGTCGACGGAGATTTCTCCGTAGACCTTCCTAACCTGCAAAAACTTGAGGTGGACCATGAACAGGCCAACACGCGTCCAAAGAAGTATGGAGCTATTCTCCTCGGCAACACCCACAATCAGTTTACGCCCCTCCGCTTCTAGGGGAAGAAAGTTCAGCTGGAGGGTTCTCCTCAGCAACCATGTGGCATCACTGCCATCTCCAATCTCCCTCTCCCACAATTGCATTGTGGATCCAACTATAACCGCGAGGCCAAGCCGGCCATCACCCGCCGGTATGATCTGACACCGGCACCGGTGAGGGAAATCCTCATCATCCTTCGCATCCAGCGGTAGCTCACTGAATCCCAGCTTCTGACTCTCCAAATCAAACATGAGCACATTATAGCCATCAAGAAACCAGTGAACCGCATTTCCGGCAAGAACGCTCGGCCGCAACACCCAGACCTCCCATGGGAGACACAACCTCGAGACATAATCACTCCAAACACCGGCATCTGACGAATAAACGGAGGCGAACACGCTGGTGAAGGTGTTCCTCTCGGCGAATACGGCGACCACGCGGAACGAGCGGCGATCGGCGGCGGCAGGAACCACCGTGGCGGAGAGGAACTTGCCGTCGACGAGCGGGAAGGGCAGGAGGCGGCGGTCGCCGGAGATGGGATCAACCACCATGAATTCCTTGCATTTGCATCCCCCGCGGAATGTGATCCTGAAGAGGGCAAGGCCCTTGCAGCAGTTGACGATCTCCCACCGCAGCCCGATCTCCCTCTCGGGGAGGAACCGGTGGGCGGGGAGGTGGTGCTGGGCGGTGGTGGATCGGAAGCCGGCGTTGAAGGAGAAGACCGGATCGAAGTCGTAGGGGAAGAAGAAGCCGAGGAAGGGGGGCTCGTGGCGGGCGACGAAGCGGCGGCGGAAGCCCGGCTCGAAGGCGAGGCGGCGCCAGCGCTTGCAGACGGCGGAGGCGGTGGGGAGCGTGGAGGCGTCCGGCGGGAGGCGGAGGAGGATCTCCTGGAGGAGGTCGTCGTCGTCGAGCGGCGACGGCGACGGCGACGGCGCGGTGGAGGGGAGGCGGCGGCGGTGGTGGTGGTGGTGGAGCGTCTCCTTCTCGCTCATTTTTTTTATTTTTTATTTTTTTGTGGTTGGGGCTGAAACAGAGGCTTTTTGCACAGTGACTGGCACATACCACCGCGCTTCACACAGTTCTCTTCCCTTGGCAACCTTATTAATATTGATTTATTCTTCATTGAAAAAAGCATTTAAGGTTTACTATTACTACATCTATTTTTAAATATATAATGTTATTTTTAACAATTATAAAACCATTTGCCTTATTCAATAATTTAGCAGACGCCTGAAAAAAAATACAAGCCGTGTTTAAAGTATTTTTACTAATAGAATTAGTTACTTTTACTAATAAAACAAATTGCAGTAAAATAAATGTAACATGTGTTTTTAAATAAGATGAATGATCAAATATTATATTGAAAAGTTAATATTATTATATGTTTAAAAATGAAAGTTACATTTTAAAAAAATTGAAAGAGAGGTACATCTTGAGACTAGTTTTCTTGCTCTATTTTCTGTGGTTCTCTTATTTGCTAGGGAGAAAATGTTGGCGATGTCGAATTAGAATGCAAAGTGGGCATGGGAGGTGGAGGTAGGTAGTGATAGCTCGATATATAGGATAGGGTGATACGGGGACAAGTGCATGAGTCGATGGTGAAGCATAATGGTGAGGTAGCCGTAGTGCCATTGCATGCACAAGTGAATGAGTCGGTGGTGAGCACTATTGGTAATGAGAGCAAAAATTGTTCTAGACTATTACTTACTTATTGTATATGATGTGGGGAGGAGGAGAGGGGATTTATATTATTCAAATCATGTAAGAAATTATTTTATTTGGTATATTTGAAAAAAAAAATGCTAGACCATTCAAATCCTATAAAATTCTTTTAAGATGGCCAATTCCTCGTAGAAAACTTTCCTCTATTCTATCTCTCTAATATAATTATGTTCTAGCCTATTCTTATTTTATTCTTGTACTTTTTAAAATAATGCATTATGCTATGTTTTGTGTTGTGTCGTTTCTATAGTTTTGAAGAAGGCCTAAGATGTATGCATATCTCTAAAATTATAAGAAACCAATATAAAAAATAGTAAATCATATTTTTATTCAATCCCATTGTAACACTAACACATGAACATGTAACTTGTATATTTAAAGCATAGTAATCCATCTACTCCCTTCCCACCATCACTACACCCTACTTCCACACATGAAACCACCCCTCCCTCTCTCGAAAGAAGTAAACTATACTTTCTTTACTCCCAATTATATAGTAGCACTATAAACCCATAAATTAATATTTACGATGTACAGATACATTACTAGTAAATACATATTTAATAATTAGTAGAATGCAATATATGGCCAAGGATTAATAGATCTACCACTACCTATATGGCTATGTTCAGATGTATGGATTGGAAATCCATACCCAAGCACGAAAACAATTTAAATGTTTAGAAAGTGTGTGCATATGAAAAAAGAGGGGGTAAAAAGTTCAGAACATGGACGAAAGAGACCAGTCTAAGAGCAAGTATTATAAACCCCTACATATTGCCCTTAAATTTACCACATAAGATTAGATAATGAGGTGGAGGAGAGAAGTTAGAAAAGCGCGAGTCATCCATTTTGTAAGGGGCAACCTCTACCTAACTCTCAATAATAGTGTAAGGCTGTGTTTTATAATTGAGGTTTGTTTATTAGATGTGATATTTTGCGTTTGTTATCTCTTCATTAATGAGTAGATAACCCGATTTAAATTAAAGGCGATATTCATCCCATTATAAAACTTGCTCAAATATCACCATATAAGTTAGAATAAATCCACCCTGGGTGGTGAAAAGAAAAGGAAGGAACGCGCGTGCATCCATTTTTTAAAAAGGAATACTTGATCAAAGTAACACGTCATGTTCGATTGTCAGCACGTGTACCATCCCCTCCCCCGTGCACCCTGTGATCGATACAACAAACCATCGTATACAAACTACAGCCATACACGTTGCTTTATTACCCACCAAATGCACAACACAGCCGAAACGGCTTTTGTATCCACGCGTAAAAAGCGCCCATCCTGGGCCGTCCGTCCCCGGATTGACCGTGCACGCGTCGCGCCATCCACAAAACGGACCTTTATCACCCAACCCTTTTTCGAACTGGAAAAATCGTAAAAACGACCCAAATATCACCTCAGATTTAAGATTCTCTCTATATACAAATATCCCCATTCTAATTTATCTCGATTTAATATTCCTCACAAATTAGTAATTGCTTTTGTTCGTGTGTTTTTTACCTCTTTCTACATATATCATATAACTTGGTACGACTTAACACATATGAAATACAACTTTTTTTTTCTCAACGACAGTGTCATACCAAGCTTATGTTTTTTCATCTTAACTCCGAAAAAAAATAAGTCACTACTAAACCCATGAGACAAAGAACAGCTCATCTTTTACTCGCTACTACCACCGTCCAATGGCATGCTAGACACCACGGGCACGGATGGCACAATCGCTTCGCCATGCATTGCAGACATGAATTACGATCACGTCTCCACAGTCATGTTACCTCAAACCAAAATGAATAAAGATGAAGTACTTACAGCAAATCATATTATATGAAGGGAATACCAAACTCACAATGATATTTGGTTTAGTTTCCTTCAAACTTTCAACTTTTTCATTACATCAAACGTTTGGACACATGTATGGAGCATTAAATATGGAGAAAAAAATAATTACACAGTTTACATGTAAATTACGAGACGAATCTTTTGAGCTTAATTAAACCATGATTTGACAATATAGTGCTACAGTAAACATTTATTAATGATGGATTAATTAGACTTAATAGATTCGTCTCGCTGTTTATAGATGGAATCTGTAATTTGTTTTATTATTAGTCTACGTTTAATACTTTAAATATGTGTACGTATACGTTAAATTTTTTTTTTACCAGAACAACTAGAAGTAGTGATTTTTGTAATATTCACTTTTCAACCCAGACCGACTCACACCACACCGCCCCAACCGGGTCTGACTCGAACGAACCCACTCAACTGCTTCCATAAATACGCGGGCACGCGCACCGAGCCACCCCAACACATCGATTATTGCGCCGTCACGCCAAGCCCTAGCTATAGCCCAAAGCAACACGACAGCATCAACAACTAGCTCGCTCGCGGCGGCAGCAGCAGCATCGATGGCGGCGGCGGAGGAGATGGCCGTGGTGGTTCTGCGGTGCTTCGACGGCACCACGGTGGCCGCGCCGGCGGGGGTTGTGACCGGGAGGTCGGGCCTCGTGGCGGAGGCGGTAGCCGGCGGCGCTGGCGGCGGCGGGGGAGGCGGGGGGCGCGTGGTGGTGGACGTGCCGGGGAACGTATCCGGCGTCGACGTCGCGGCGGTTGTCGCGTACATGGAGGCCCGCGCGGCGGCGGCCGACGGCGACGCGTTCGACGGCGAGTTCATCGGCGGGCTCACCCACGACGCGCGGATTGACCTCATCCACGCCGCGCACCACCTCGCCGACAAGGCCCTCTTCAACCTCCTCGCCTAGAAGAGATTAGCTTCATCAAATCTCGGTTCATGTTCCATTATTAGTAAATTCAGTCGTTTTTTATAGTCGGATTCAATCGTTTTTGTACCAAATTCAGTAATTATTATACTGGATCGATCGACGATCGGTCCCCTGTTTTTTTTTGTCTATTTTTCTTGCATCTCGCGATTAATCCATCTGAATTTTGTTTGATTGATTAGAGCGTATGATTCCTAGTTGAGTATGGATGCGAAACAAAACAATTAATTTCCAAGAAAGAACGTAGAAAGGATCGAGATGATTTTCATGAAAACATTGATGAGATTTAAACAAGTGTATTTGATTACAATTGTTCGCGATTGATTAAACCCCGATGAAAACACTAAATTCGATCGTTCGGTGGCCATGGCCTCCGACGACTAATTTACAATCCATACGGAAAAAGGAAAATTAAACCCACACCAATTAATTACCCAAATAAGCTGCCATTATGCTTTTCCTCCTCAAATCTCAAACCAATTCCCAAGCTTGCTTCCCAATCCTCAGATGGCGCCGAGCACGACGCCGAGAGCGACGACAATGGCGACGAGGTGGCCGTCGACCTTCCACGCCCCGCTGTCGTACGGGCTGTTGTCCACCAGCGGCTGGCTTCCGAACGCCCCGACAGCGCCGGCGCCGAGAGCGCCGGCACCGACACCACCAACCCCTGCGGCGGCGCCGCCGGCAGCAGCAGCAGCAGCAGGGTCAGGCAGGTCCCCTGGCAATGGCGAGAACGCCGGGTCGACGCCGCCAAGGGCCCCTGGGAGTGGCGCAAGAGCCGCGTCGCCACCCATGTCACCTGGCAATGGCGCGGCTGCCGCGTCGCCGCCCGCGGCTCCCGGCAATGGCGCGACAGCTCCGGCGCCGCCGACGGCTCCCGGCAGCGGCGCGACAGCTCCGACGCCGCCCAGTGCTCCCGCGGCGGCATCCGCGGCCTGCGGCAGCTCGGCGGCGCGGCCGTTTCCGCCGGGGAACATTCCGAAGGGGAGGTCGCTGCTGTGGGCGCCGATGGGCTCGGCGAAGGGCGGGAACGCGGTGGCGAGGCCAGGGGATCCCGGCGCGCCGCAGTGCTGCGCGTGGCGGGGCTCGTCGCTGGCCCGCCAGGCGAGCTCGCCGTCCTTGTCGCGGATGCGCATGTCGCCGTCGTCGACGAGCTCGAGCCTCTGCAGGAAGTTGGTGCCGTCGGTGTTGGTCTCGCCGTGCCACACCTCCTGGCTGCCGTCGAACACCTCCAGCCCGTGCCACGAGAAGAGCAGAGTGCACGTGTTCACCGTGCTCACCGGCCGGCACTCCGACTCCCACACGCTCATCCCCCCGCCCGCCGCCACCGCCGCGTCGCCCTCGCCGCCCTTGTTCACGACCACCTCGACGTAGCAGAAGTCGGCGCCGAGCCCGCCGGCGCCGGGGACGGTGTGCGAGCGCACGAAGTACGCCGCGTACTTGCCGGACGGCGAGGTGAGGAACAGCACGGGCGGGTGGACGTCGCCGGCGCCGTGGCCACCCGGCGGGATGCTGGCGAGGATCTGCTGCTTGACGACGCGCTCGATCGTTCCCGGCGGTCCGGTCACCGCCGCCGCCAGCGAGGAGGAGAGCAGCACGGCAATGGCAATGCAAGGGAGGAGCGCCATGGATGGATGGCAAGCTTTGCTAGGTGAGTAGCTAAGCTTCTTCTTGGATGCTTTGATTGGTTGTGGTTGTGCATGGAATGGTACATGGTTGGGTGTTTATATATAGTTGTGTAGCTTGGGGTGGTGATGATGGATTAGGAGCAAAATGGGGTGATAAATTAGGGTTTTAGAAAAGGTGAGACATGGATGAAGCTTGCTAGGTTGTATGGGGAGTGGTTGGAGTTGGAGTGTGTCACCTGTTCCAATACATACTGATACTAGGGGATTGGGTGAGCATAAGCTGTATAAGCTTTGTTTGGGTCAGAGATTTTTTTTTCTGAAAGAAGGAAAGGGTTTTGATTAATTAATATATTAATACTAATAGAGAAGAAATTTGGGTCAGATGGATTCAGCTAATAATAATGGAATTGAAAGCTGCAGGTGGTGTTTGGAGTTTGGACCTTGGAGATGTAATTACTACTATTAAACTGCTAATAATGCCCTAAGTTGATTGGTTGACATTCTAGTACCTTTTATGTGGGGTCCAGATATTCTCAAGGTTTGGGAAGGCAATTGTCTGCACCAGGGAGAGATTGGACTTTAATTTGGGTCCCCCCAGCAGGTGTGGTTACACGTGGATTTTAAGTCACCACAGCCATGATGAACTGTCAAGTTTCATACGCACGAAGAAACAAAATAATAAATGTAACTCCAAATTTAATAATACTCTTAAGAAATAAAGCATGAATTAAGTGAACACTGACAGTATAACTCCTTAGCTTTCTTTGCAGTGGAACATGTCTATCCGGAATTGAGAGCCTGTTTGGTTGCTACCCTGAGCAACATGTCTGCGTATTTTTCATGTCTGAGGATAGCCTGAGCTTGCTTACAAGAGTTACTTGACCAGGCATGGCTTAAATTTAAGGTAGTGTTTGGTTAAAACCCTGAGAACATGCCTAAGTGAACTCGAGTGCCAGGCAGTGTTTGGCTCATATTTTGCCTGAGCATACCCTCACCACATCGTACAGAGGTGGTGAGATTACCCTCTACATATTCTCAACTTGTTCATACATAAAGATTCACCAATGAATAATAGCCAACACGGCAGCTAAAATGGCCAAAGTTCTAGCTCGTTGTTGGATAATGTATTCATGAGTACGATCTAAATCCATCTGAGCATCACATGACAAATAATAATAATAGGTGGAGAAAAACACAAATATTGCAATGGTTCACATAGATTTTTCTTCTAACAGACATGCTCTTGACAGATCCTGGAATAACAAAGCAACAATAGAAGGGAAAAGCAAAAAAAAAAAAGAAGAAGAAGAAAGAAAAAGAAGAAGAGAACTTGAGAGTGTTTTCTCACCTTGCTGCAGAAGATCGTGGAAAAACTAGTGGAGACTTGAAACCTCACATGCACAGGAAAGGAGAGAGTTGAAAAGTTGATTCCCTTCTCTTTCAGATCTGAAAAAGTGCTCTCTTTTTTTCTAGTAGCTCTCACGTATAGAGCTGAGCTCCAACTGATGGCACCAGATTTTAGTGGAGGAAGCAGACGGCCACCGGATCTGCAAGGTGGAGCAGCCCCTTGGTCGCTGCCGCTGCAGCCATGGATGGATCGATGGGGATTTTTTTCTCCTCCTAACCCTACGGTGGTACAGTGAGGAGAAGTAGTGGTAGAAGAGAGGTGATTCTACTCAGGCATGTTGGTGGAAATGCCATGGCTTGCTCAGGCGACCTTTTTACTACGCCTGACTCAGGCAAGTTTCGTCAGGCAAGAATCCTCAGGCTAAAATTCTCAGGATAGCAACCAAACACGTCTCAGGCAGATTACAGGTTTGGGCTCAGGCCAGGCTGGTTTGCTCAGGGTAGCAACCAAACAGGCTCTGAGTCTCCTAGACTTTTGGAGGCGCCCTGATAGTTAGGGGTAGGGTATGACTTATGAATGTCCGTCGATATGAATGTCTATATCTATGTCTCTATCTCTATCTCTACTATTATAAAAAATAAAGATATTTTTACTGATATTTTGGTACGTTATACTCCCTCTGTCCCAAAATATAGCAACTTTTGTTTTTATGGGATGTAGACCTGTCCAGATTCGTAGTACCAAAATATAGCAACTTTTGTTTTTGGATGGGATGTAGACCTGTCCAGATTCGTAGTACTATTCAGATTCGTAGTACTAGCATACGTCTCATCCAACCAAAAATTGCTATATTTTGGAACGGAAGAAGTGCTTGTTTGAGTCGATTTTTTATTTTTTTCGTTTTTGAAAATACAAAAGGAGTCGTATAAGAAATATCTTTTAAAAAACTTTTATATGCTAACTTGAGACGAAAGTCGGACTCCTAATTACAGCTCATGATTTTCTAAAAAACAAATTCAAGCGAATTTCCAAAGTAAATTTTACGCTAGCTAAACCGTATAAAAAGATAAGATTAAAATAGCCTTAACCGATTGTAACATACGGACATTGTTTTAGTATTTATAAAGATACTACAAGAAGGTGCACAAAGGAAACCTTACTTCCTAACAAACTGTCCAGGGCTCCTGGTCCGGTAAAGCCCAGTAAATTCATGGCCCAGAAAATTGTTTCCTCCAGTCCCCAAGTCCCAACGGGCCAGCACATTGCTGGATGGAAAAAATACACCGAAAGTCCCTCAACTTGTCATGGGGATAAAAAACATCCTCGAACCACAAAACTAAATATACGAGATCCCTTAACTATACAAAACCGATCACCCGAGGTCCTTCGGTGGTTTTGATCCCGGTTTTGGTCTATGTGGTGGCTGAGTCAGTATGGGACCCACGTGGCCCCACATGTTAGGTGTCCACCTCACCCTATTTCTTTCCCCTTTCTCTCTATTTCTCTCATTCCTTCCTCGCTCTCTGCTCTCGCACGCTAGGGCACCCACGGCGGCGGCGCGCGCGCTCCTGGACCGGCTCATGGTCCACCTCGCCCTCGCCCTCGTCTGCTCGCCGGAGGCGCCGACCTGCACCAGGAAGAGCAGCCTCGCCCCCACACCGACGGCCAGCATCTCCTGCAGCACCGCCGGCGTCGCCGAGTGCCTTGCCATGGCGTGCATCACGCGCACGGCGCTCTTGGTGCCTGCGGCGGACAGCCGCGTCGCCGCGCACGCCACCGCTGCGAGCCCCGTCGGGTGTGCCACCAGCGATAGGCTTCCCTCCGCGTAGCCGCAGATGTGGTCATCGCCACCACGACGAGCTCGCAGGCGCGCCTGTCACCGCCGCAGCCCCTTGTTGAGGAGGAGACGCACGAGCGCTGACACGGCGCTGGCGTCGACCGTCTTGACGCGGTTCCGGCTCCAAAGGCAGAGCCGGCAGAGCACGTGGAGCGCCACCTTGACCGCCTTCGCCGACGGCCTATCTGCCACCACCCTCACCACGCCGTCGACCAGTGCGGCGGCGCTCGCCGATGTCAGCCGTCCGGGGGCATAGCTGGGAGCGCCGATTACAGCAGGTGGATTCCCTGGATCCGTAAGAGGTATCTCGGCCGCCGCAGCACGCACGCCAAGGTTTCCAAGAAATCTTCACCGTCGCTGCCCTTCATCGGATCATGCACGCCGCACGTCGTCTCTTCCTGGGAAGAACCCAGTGGCTTAGCCGACGTTGCGTCATTCACGCCCACAGAGGCGCGCTACTTGACGACGGATAGGAGGAACTCCACGGTGCCGGGCACGCCCTGGACGCACCGTCGATGCGGCGGCGGAGGAGGAGGAGAACGCCGGCCACCGCGCCATGGCGGGATCCGGCGGGGACGAGGGGGACGACGACGCCGATGAGAAGGAAAGGATCCCGTCGGGAGGAGCGTGCGCGGGGCACGCCGACGCCGACGACCACCATGCCCACTGCTAGGGGGCTGCCACCTCCACAGCCTCCGCCTCCGCCACCACCGCCTACTGGCTGCCGTTCCCCTACTGGCCGCCGCTCCCTATTCGCCGGCCGCCGGCCGCCACGCACTCGCCCGCCGGCTGCCACCGCCGCTCCCCATCCGCTAGAGAGAGAAATGAGGAAGAAAAGAGAAAGGGGAAAGATATAGGGTGAGGTGGACACCTGACATGTAGGGCCCACGTGGGTCCCACGCTGACTTAGCCGCCACGTAGACCAAAACCGGGGTCAAAACCACTGAAGGACCTCTGGTGACCGGTTTTGTATAGTTAAGGGACCTCTTATATCTGGTTTTGCGGTTTGAGGACGTTTTTTATCCCGATGACAAGTTGAAGGACCTGCGGTGTACTTTTTCCTTGTTGGATCACCAATTAACGGACCACAGAAACTAGCAAGGTACAAACCAAGATAGTGCTATATTGACATCTTTCAAAAATTTATATGTATTTATATATACCTACTTAAACAATGCGTAAGACTTTGGTTGGGTTTTTCATCCATAGTATCGAATCATAATCGCATCCGTCGTTTCTCCGAGTTTTTCCTCTGAGGCTAGGGTTTTACCGAGTTCACTGGGTTAGAAATGGTGCTGAAAAATTCACGTGATTTTGTTTAGGATTTTTGGGGATTTCGTGAGGCAAGGAAAAGGAGGATTAGGGGATTCTGAAAGTCCCTTAGCCACCAACTTTCCGAACCATCTTTGTCACGCCCCAATTTTCTTTCGGAGATTAAAAATCAATTAATGAATTATTTCTAGAAATTATATTAAAATATAAAGCAATTTATCAAATGTAGTTTAATATGGGAAATAAAATTTCCTTAAAAATCATGGCCGTTAATATTTTTGTAATATTCTCTATGGCCTAAAGTCCTCTCTCGAATTTCCCGTAAATTTTCAGATATGAACACTGGTGGAGAAACCCTTTGTAGTCCCAGTTCGTAACCCCCCTTTAGTCCCGGTTTCCAAACCGGGAGTACCAATCCGGGACTAAAGATCGCTATCTTTAGTCCCGGGTGAAATAACCGGGACTAAAGATCGAGCTGACCTTTTTTTTTTTTGCATGGCCCTGTTGCTGCATGGTTTATATATATATATATATATATATATATATATATATATATATATATAAACCATGCATATAAATGTTTCAATACATATATATGCATACATATATATATGTATATATATATATATATATATTATATTATATTATATGTATATACATGCATAATATATATGTATTTATACATATATATGTTATGCAAATGCATATGTATATAGATATATATATGACCAAAATATATTTATATTATAGAAAATGTGTACACATGCATATAGAAACATATGTAGTCATGTATTAATTACAATCCATTATATGTCCTAGCTAGCTACGATTTCGACGTAGTAGTACTCGCTGCTAGCTCAGAAGCTAAGGACCGGTGAATTGTGTTTCCGTCGTAGTAGAATTCACCCTTGGGATCAAGGATTTCTTCGTTGATGAATCCCATGAGTTGTTCTTGAACCGCCGCGATAAATTCCTTGTGTGTGGTCAGGTTATCCCTCATGCGAATAAACTATATGAATATATGAAATTGATTAGTAATTAAACAAGAAATCGCTACGTAATGAAATTTTGAATTTATTTGTACGTACATCGAGCTCTCTTGTGGTGATGATTTGGTCTGCAAGGCAGTGGCAATACTCGCACACGTAATAGCCGCACAAGTTAGTTCCCTGCTTTTGCTTTGTGCACTACAAATAAATGACAAACAACGAGAGATCTAATTAATATACACTTGTATGTATTTGAATCGGAGAAATATAAATGTAGAGCATGTGTACTCACAGGAAATTTGAACTTCCGCCTAAGTCTTTCTCTCCATTTGCCGCGGACCAAATGACGGAACCGATACCAAGCCCTACATGGAGTTTAAAGCTATGATTCGTAGTAGCAATTAACATAACAAGATTTTCTTAATTAACAAAGGAACTTATGACGGTACCTGTCTATAAGTTCGAAAACCTTGTCAAACGTAGACTCTTTTTTATCCATTGAGTCATATACGTTGACGGTGCAGGCCTCCAGGTCGAAGAGTAAAAGCACCCAGTGGAATCTGCAATGTGCGTGGGATGCATTACATATGAAACACTTAGCAAGTTCGTACGGGAATGAAATTTGGTATGTAGGAAGACAGTAAAATTAAACTAACTCTGTGTTGTATCGCAACAGTATGAATGTCTTGTAATGTTGCGCCTTCAGGAGATGGACGAGATTGTCCTCTGTTTCTTGTGGATATTGGTCGAGCATTGCGACGTTTACTTTCCGAGGGTCGATGAATCCAGTATCGAAAACCCTCCGCCGTCGGGCCCTTTGAATCTCCATTCTACAACGATAAAAGGGAGTATATTATTTTCTATAGTCTACTTATATACAAGGACCTAATTAATTAAAGGAGACGTATAGTAAGAAATCTAACTGAACGATATACTTACAAAATCCAGCAACTCATAATAGAGACATCGAGGGCGTCCAGCTGGTATAGTTCGTAGATTCCCCTGAAATTGATCCAGAGAATGTCATCTCCTTGCAAGAAGTCCGTGTCCCTGATCCTCGCTCCGATCATCTCTCTACCGGTGGCGCTCATCTCCATGTACAGCTGATGGAACTTGTACATTTGTGTGGGTAGGGACTGCAGCAGCTCAGGCTTGACAAGCGGTTTACCGAGTTCGTACATGTATTTCACTTCCGCCTTTTCGATTGGTGCGACTCCTAGCAATTGATCCGTAG